CAAACAACAAAAAACACTCCTCCGAACAAGCTAAATTATGTTAATACCTTTAATGAATATTAATATCTTTAATGGCCAGATGATGAAAAACTTTTAAATTTCAAACTCACCTGAACATGAAAACACTTTTTGAGTTGTTATCGAATTCCCCTTTGGCATCTGCAAGTGAAGTACGAGAAAGTTTTCTGGTGCAGCTAGCTGATGTTTAATCATCAGTTTTTCTGAAAAGAATTATTTAAATTCTCCTATATCTTTCGCTCAGAACATTAAAACAATTTTTGGGATTTTATTTCATTAATGCTCCCTGATGCGAAAGATAATTTGTGTTAAAAAAACTTAATTTTGAACTAGGCATTGAATAATTTCAGATCCATACTCGTCTGCAGCACTGTAGAATAAAGCAAGCTTGGTATTTGAAAATATAAATTGCAACCTGAAGATTTACTTTACAATCTAACACCTTGAAGAATTTACTAATAAAATTTCAGAAGTTAAAATAGTACTGAAAACTTTTAAAATAAAACAAAAGCATAGGATTAAAAAGAACTACAATCTGATGTTGGTACGCCTATTTTAATTTAACGCTTAAGCTAAGTAGTTACGGTAGGCTAACTGAATTAGCTCCCCAGATATTAAAGATTTAAAACATAAAATTAGAGATTTAGAACATAAAATATTATATTTAATGTGAGCTGCTCAAAATGCAAAACCCAAGTAGTGGAAGCAAAAATTGGTATGATGTTAATTCATTGCCATGGAACGTCTTGTGCACTTATTTAATTAAGGAAAAAATGGTTATTTAATCGCACACTAATTTCATTGAATTGCTGGTATAAAAATCTTGCAGCTCGTATAAAAGTCTTCCAATACGTTTTAATTTGCCATCACGCGAAATCTTCTCACTGGAAACTTTAAATATGTATCTGAGGAATTAAAAAATACGTATACAGTTGGTGTCACGTAATGCGATGACATTTGTACAGGACTATTTTGTAGCATAAAGCTATGAGAATATTGTCCTTTTAAAGCTCAATGGAATTTAGTTAATTTAATATAAATACAACTAGAAACCTATAAATACTTACTTTCACAACATTTTATTTAGAAACAAGTTTATTCATAGTTGTTTGTCTGTATTTATTGCGCAAAAGTTCATATTCATGATGTTTCTGGAAATTATTTGACAGGTACAGGTATATAGGGGTACAGGTAAAACATGGGGAACACCAGCGATGTACCATGGGTCTCCTGGTAGTGCCTTCCCACACTAACTATTTTTTTAAAAGGGAGAGAGAGAGAAGGAAAAAAATTACGAGTTTTATAAGAATTTACAATGAAAGGTTGCGGCAATGGGCAACTGAAGCTTCCCAAATGATCTAGACTTTACCTGTTATGGTACATCGAACAATCCCACTGTACGCACCGCATCCAGTATTTATTAAAAATAATGATTTAGGACGTAAAGTTATTACAATATAGTCTCAATAGAATTTGAAATTCACAAATTAAATTTAGCATTTGTTTTGTGTAAAAAAATAATAGATGAACATAATTAGTATAGACATAACTATAATAAGTACATGGAACATTGTATTATAATGAACTATAATAATAATACCAAAGAGGTTGTAGAGACGTTAGGTACTTTTTGGAAGTAAGCAAGAGGGAAAGTTAGCACAGCCTTTCTTGGGAATCGAACCGCGGACCTGTTAACGGGCATGAGAAAGTCTAATGATCAAGGGTTTTCCCACATTTGCAAATATCAGAGTTCGTCATATTTCTTGCGCAGAAATATGTGGGGTAGGGTTCCGTGTTCTGTTATATAGTAATTTAATGAAGGATTCGAGTACAGAGATGCAAAGCTTACATTGGGGATCAAGTTCTTAATGCGTCTTCCCAGTAGAGCATTTTTCCACAAATCTTGCCAAAACTTTGAAGGAAATTGTTTCATTGGTACTTGGAAATTGAGTGAAGCCATGGAATTTGAATGCACCTTAATTAAGAGCTGTTTCATCTACCTGATCATTACCAAAATAGCCAGTATGACCTTTGATCCATGAAATTTGAATTTTGTAGTTTGGAATTTTGGCAAGAAAAAATTTATGTCAAAAATCAATGGAGAGAAAGATAACGGATTCTTAATCCCTTACCTTCCTCTTACCTCTTTTACTTATAAGGCAAAATAACTGCTCGGGAGTCAAATTTTATAAATTAGTTGAGAATTTTGAGAATGGCTATTTCAATCGCTGCTTTTATAGCTGACAATTCCGCTTGAGAATGGAGATGGCCTTTTCATTTGATCATATTTGAAGGGGCAGTTTAGACGGGGCGAAAATAAAACAAATGTCTTTCAATTTTTGATCCATCAGTACATGCAACTGTAGAAAAACTACTTAAAATTTTGTCAGACATTGGTAATTTTATTTTGCTGAGGCCAGGCGCTGGATGAATAAGATTGGAGTTAATTTTCTTTTCATAGTTGGATGGCATAAAAGTTCAGTTGTTAAATTCTGCAGCTTGGTTAAGTGGAAGGACTTTCATACAAGTACTTTCCATGTCTGCATTGATTGATAGTGGAAGAGAACCAGTTAATGTATATTTGGAGTTATATTTGGAGTTCTGCGATACGCTCGAATAAGGCAAAAAGTAAAAGGCCTTAGAATTGAATTTAAACATTTAATCTTCTCACTGTCATTGGTTGTGCTCAAATACAGTAACTTTATCTTCATAATTAATGCGTTATTAAATTATGTTTTCCTTTTTTTCTTCTGTCGGCTAAACTAATTTTTTTTTTTTTTTTTTTTTTTTTTTGTTACAAAATCATCTTTTCCCATTTTACGGCTGATTCTTTAGCTTTCTGCCGCATTTATGAGACATCGACTGCCATATCCTTTTTCCAAACATTTGTAAACCAAATCTTCAGCGCTTTCTCAGCACTATTTATTTTCTTTTATGTATCCCTATCATGTTTTCGTTTCAACTTTGCTTTGATTTGCTAATAATATCTTCACGATTTTTCAAAATCATGCATAAGATGAGTTGAGAAATATTTAACTTTTTAGAGCATGCTTCCGTTGGCTCATTTTTAAAATCGGTCACAGCGGTTTAACGAGTTGACTTTATCCCATAGATCAATGGTATAAAGTTGTTTTACGTAAAAATGTCTGAACAGAATATAAAAATGGGGGTTTCTTAAAACGTGACATACATAAAAATGTAAAGCTCAGAACAATCGAACAGATATTTTGGCGCGAAAAAATAAGGCCAACTGGAATTCCGCTACGTTAAACTGTTATTATACTGTATTTTCGTAATACTTGAATAAAAATACTCATTAACACTTGCTTGCTTTAGATCAAAATCAGACTGCTTAGCTACATGTTTCTGTCATTTGAGAATGGCTGTACTCTATTTCCGGTATGATAAATATGTGTAAGAAATAGTTTATTGTTGCAAAATGTCACAGCCGAACCATGTAGGGTACGCAGTTGACCATTTCGCTATCTTCGATATATTGATGCAGTGCAAATATATTATTGCTATATTTTGCTAACGGAAATTACGAATTAGATATCAAGAAACTACAGGATGACCCAAAAGTCCGTTAACATTTGAAAATTCAATAATTCACTGAATAATGTAGATATAGAGGTAAAAAAGGACACACATGCTTGAAATGTCATGGCGCTTTATTAAAAGCAAAAAAGTGCTTAAAACGGTCAACAGATGGCGCTTCATACGATAGCAAAAGCAATAATTAGCATAATAATTGATTTTTAATCAAAGACTATGTTCTTTATAACAAATGTTCAACATGTCGGCCGTCATTCATCAGCAATACCTGTAGTCGAGAGACAATGTGAAAAGCACTGTACAGCATATCTGAAGGTATGGGTGAAAAATTGCTGTCGGTTGCTGTCTTTTAGCATCTAGAAAGAGGTCGGTCGACCGCGGTAGATTTGTTTGGTGTAACCCCACAACCAATAATCACACGAATTGAGATTTGGGGACTTGAGAGGCCAAGCCTGACGGACGTGGCTGCCCAGCACACACTCCTCACCAAACAATGAATGTAGGCAATCTTTCACACGTATGGGGGAGCGCCATCCTGTATAACAGTCATACCTTCCAACAGGTGTTTATCAACCAGACTAGGGATGGTACGATTCTGTAACATATTAGCCCACCTCGCACCCGTCTTACTGACAGTTTGAGTAGCAGAACAACACATTTCTCCTATCACGATTGATCTGATAAATCCACATCACATCGTGACCGGAGGCGAGGATAGAAAAGTGACAAAGTCATGAAGGCACTGATTTCCTGTTTTACGATAGCTCATTTTCATATACTATTTTCATGCGACGTCACTGACATCTTGCTGCCCAGCACCATATGTTTGCCTGTTGTTTTCATTCTTTTTCTTTCAATGAAACCGCATAACATATGAAGCATGTATTTTTCCTTTATTATTATTCCGTGAATTATTCAATATTCAAATGTTAACGGACTTTTGGGTCACCCAGTACTTAGATATCAATAAATACACAACAATATTCTTGCGCATTTTCTTCCCTTTATACTTATCGTAACAACACTTTTTAACTCAGTTATGAACGTATGTAATATATATAGTATACAAATCAAGACCTGTTAGATGTTATCGTATGCCTTTTTATCAAAGGTAGGTTATTAGTGGCCAAGTTCGAAGAACTTAAAGATATATTTTTTAATAAGTTCGAACATTTCATTACGAAAGAGCTATTACAAGGAGAGTAAGTTATAAGCATTTATAACTGTCGTTTTGTGTTTAAGAGTCAGCTTTAGTTCTATGCAAAATTTTAGCGAGTTGGAAAAGATTGGTGTTTGCTATTCAAACCAACACTGAAAAACCTTTGTGGGTTTTAGAATGTATTTATTCACTTTCTTGATGGAAAATATGTTCTTAACATTTTAATGTAAATGTTCTAGTGGGAGTAAATATTATTATATATTTATAGCCTTTTGTGATCCAGCCTGCCAGAATGGTGGAGAATGTGTGAAGCCCTACTTCTGCCATTGTCCTACAGGAACCAAAGGAGCTTTTTGCGAAAAACGTGAGCAAAACTTCTATTACATAATTCATTTTTCTATGTTTATATGTATTTATGCATTGTACGGCAGAAAGCTTCCTCTTTTGAAGATTTGTTTATGATTCCATATATTTTATATTATTCAACATAGTTGTTTTACTTTTGATGCTTCATCGCAAATATTCCTCTAGATAACTGTCAAGGACAACTGTTAGAGTAAATAATCAATTACTTTAGGCAATGTATGGAATTCTTGCTAAGCAGTCTTCTTTCTAAAATACGTAATTATTTATTAGTGAATTTTAGAAATATATTAGCTAAATTGTACTGAGCTGTTACTCGAACTTAGTTCTGCAACCCTACTGGATAACTTGCGAATTATTGCTACGCCTGAAAATAGTGTTACGGATTTTGTATGTATGTAAATAACTTCAGTGATGTGAAATGATAGTATTTTTTGTATAATGTGACATGAAATACTTGAAATAGACAATACTGTGCCGGAAAAATAAGATTACAAGCCTATTTAACGCTGAGTAAATGGCTATCTCACTCTACTGGCGAGATGTTGCCAAGCTGGCGACGGTTTTGGCGAGTAATTTTTGTCACCAACTTTAGCAAAAAATCGCTAAAAATTGCCAAACCTGTTTACCATTTGGCTACATTTTGGTTCTATGTCTGTATAACTGTAATTGGTATTGTGATTCAATAAATGTCATTGATCCGTATATGTAACTATCCTTTACCCCTATATATATATATATATATCCAGCCCTCGTATGCCTTCCAGTAATTTCAAGAAGTAGCAGGTATTACAGATTTCTCGGCGACGGGAGAAAAATTATATAAGACTGGAGAGAGCGTCAGTTTCTGAGTTGTTTAATTCAGCTTGTGTTCTGAGTATTGAGAGATCTCCATAGGAGCAAACTACTAAGAATTAGTTTGACGTGTAATTACTGATTATGTACGAGTATTTTTGTGTGATGCTGTAGAACTGTAAAGAGTTCCATTTGGTAAACTAAATTTTATAAAGCTACCATCGTTTATGCGTGCATTCAGTCCATTGTGAAACCGTACGCACTCAGCAATAGTATGGCAAAGCCTTGCGAAGGTTAAAAGAGCCGTTTTGTTAAACTGAATTTTTAGCATAAAAAACAGGGATTAGGTTACTCATAAACGACTATTTTTGTCGATGTAATTTAAGCAATAATAGATACTTAAATTTAAACATTTATAAAAGTAGTCTAAGAATACGCAGGTAATAAATTAAACTATAATTTCGCTTAACTAACTTCAGCGACTCGTAAGTTTAAACCAGTCGCCTGTGAGAGAATGCAAAAGCCGGTAAAATGTTTTATATACAGCTGGCGAAATGTAACAGCATGGCGCAAGTGCCGGAAACTCTTTCAGTGAAAGATCAAAAACCCTTAGCTTAAATGCGCTTAAAACAGCTAATTTGTATTCGTTTAGGAAACACAGAAAGATTGATGTTAAAGTGAAGATTAAAATCATAATAACTTATAAGCCATTTCTCCCGCCTTCGTAGTGTAGCGGTCAACACGCTGGGCGCGTATTCCACAGGCCCGTGCTTCGATTCCCGGCGAAGGCGTTGCTCATTTTTCATCTCTCCTGCTTCAAAATAACCTATTGACTCTACACTGGCGCCTGAACTAAAAAGGGTGGTGGTTGATTATTCTCCACACCCAGGATTTGACGACTGGGTCCCCTAAACCCTAATCGCCCTTTAAAAGTGGGAGTATATAAGGTATTTTTCACGCCTTCTTAGCGTGCCTTCGTAGTGTAGTAGTCAGCGCGCTGGGCGCGTTTGATCCGTGGTTCGATTCCCGGCAAAGGCGTTGCTCATTTTGCATCTCTCCTGCTTCGAAGTAACCTAATGACTCTACAAACTCGTTAATTAATACAAGAGCTAGATGCTTACAATTCAGTGTGAGATCTTTTTATGGATATGTAAAGTTACGAATCTTTAACTAAGAATGGAGTTCTCCAGTCTAATAGGAAATTAATAGGCTAGTAGTTGCATAAAACTGATACTTCCTCAAAAATTACGGTATATAATTTGGTCTGTCTGCTTATTCTTAAGGGACTAGTTCTGTTGAAAACTTTTAAGGATCAAAAGGAGCATTTTTTTTTCATGATTGTGCTCTGTCATAAAAATGGTGGAATCTTTTGGCAAGTCGACTAATGTTTCTTAAGGCAGAAAACTTAGCGCCAGTTTCCGCTGTGGGCTGGTTCTCTCCTCCTAAGATCACCTAGTGAATTCGATCTCCTCCATTTCAAACACATCGACTTCGTTTTTAGTGCGAATGTCTGATTGGCTAACAGAGGACTGAACAAAGAGGATAGAAAACAGAGGACAGAACTTCTGACCTTACGCTGATCAGCAACTCAGACCTCGAAAGCAGTTGTATTGCAGTATCGTGCCACATTACATGCTTCGGCATAACAATGCAAATGCTTTTATAACAGTCAGGTAACTTTTTATGGAACACTGCTGTGAAGTCTTCTTTCTTGGCAAACACTGGTCGACCAACACAAAAGTACACGCATCTGAATTGGAGCTATTACATCAAGAATGGTTTATTTCATCATTTTATTTCGAAGAAGATTATCTCTAATTGATGAAATCGTCAAGAATCATTGAGAATTATAAATTGCCTCAATGTAATCGCTTTTTTTTTTCTGTAACTTTAGTACCTAGCTTCATAATGTACTTGGAACAAGCATATAATCTTTAACGCAACTTGTTCTTCAAACAAGATTAAATCCTAAGCAGAAAATTTTGCATCTAAAAGATGCGTTACGAATAGATTGGATTATTTAATAACAGCAAAGCATACTAGGGCTATCTGTTTAAAGGGGATTGACGCCCTTGTGTATGACCTTTTAGGGAAAACAGTTTCGTACTGTGTTGTACGCAGAGAAAAACACGAAAACTTCCTTACAATCTGCCCGTTCGCTGGGATTTGCAGTTTGTGACATGATGGCATTATTGCCCCCTCCCGAAACGAAATGGAGATGCAGTTACAGTGACTGGTAAGCAACACCAGTTGATAACAAATTTTTATGTGGCCGAATTTCAGCACACTGTTGTGAGCGGACATGTTGTTTTAACAAAACGGTGCCACATGTCACACTTCTAACGCCATTATCGATGTATTTAGGAAAAACAAATTGATTAAAGATTAATTTCACGAAATGCAAGTGTTAGTTGGCCTCATAGAAGTTATAAATTAACTCATTTAGATTTCTTTTTGTGGGGTTATTTGAAATCATTGGTCCACGTGAACATACCACGAACCCTTGAAGCATTAAGAATTAACATCGAATGCTGTATTCGTGATATTAGGCTCGAATTATTGCCTACAATCATCGAAAATTGGGATTCATCGAATTCGCTCGTGTGAATAAGTCAACATGATTACTTGAATAATATTTTATTCAGAATATAATGATAAATTATACTTCAAAAATATATAAAATGCTTGGTTGTATATGAAATAGTTTTTATTTTATTTCATTTCATAATCATATCATTCTTAATGGAACACTGTTTATATATTTTTTCTTAATTTAAAAAATAGTCTCTCCGAAATAGTCAGATACATCAAATCGATGATCGACTTGTGGATCTGATGCATCAATCGATACATCAAAGCAAAAATAAATAAATAAATAAAATAAAATAAAATAAAAAATAAGTGAAACTTTGAACTACTAAAACGAGGTTATGAGGTGTTTTGTCCCTCCTTTCTGTATGCCTTCGTGGTGTAACGTTTAGCACAGTCGATGCGTATACGAGTTCCGGCGAAGGCATTGCTCATTTTTCTGCCTCCTGCTTAAATAAAGGGGATTATGGGATTAGCGCTACGAGGGGATAAATTTTATAACGTCTGTGGCATTACACTACGTGGAACTGCTTGTCCGTTCACCGAGAGGTTGATCGCAGAAGAGATTAGCGAAGTATCGCTACACGTTGCTTAAGTAGAAGGAAAAGATCAGACTTAAAACCTAACATGAGTTGTATTAACTAAAATTTGTCAGTAATACAACTAAAACATGGAGGCAAACTAAACTTCCTCATGAAACAAAAGTAGTTGTTTGCTAGAACGCTGAAATTACACATAGCTAAAATAACAGATCCCGTGCTTTTAAAAAGTACCTTTTAGCCTTATTGTACCAATAATAAAATAGCTCTTTAGCACTGAGAGAGATGCATCAAACCATCGACAATAGTTGTGTTGTGGCTTGTCACACTTGTCTGACATTAACATCAGCACAAGCCCACGAAATTCATCGTGGCAAAGACAGCAAGACTGCGTGCGCCTGTCTTGGCAAGAGCCTTGACCACCATACAGGTAAAAGTACGACTTTGCTCAGTTCGCTCAGTTCAAATTTTCACAGAGGGCACCCCAAAGGGACTAGTCCGGTGGTCTCCTACCTCTCTTTCTCTACCACAAACCTCTCAAGAGGACTTTCGACTCGCCACATATTTAGAGTGGCACCATGCCGAAAAGACACAATACATTTACAAATATCCATGTCTTCTCCGGGATTCGAATCCGGGCTCTTCGGTACCGCAGTAGACTCCTCTAACAACTATACCGTCTAGGAGGCACCTTCGGTAATTCTAATCGCTACTATGTCCTAGGTTTCCACGGCAAGAGGGCGGTATTCCGAAATAAGCTCCAAATGAAGTCACGGTTACGATTACATCCTGGTTTCAAACAATTCCCTTTCTGCGCAATTTGTGTAGACCTCTGGACTGAGCAAGTATTGCGACGACACAAGGAACATAGGAAAAAATAATATAAAAACATAAAGCTCATTATTAGTAAAACTCAAGTTATAAATGCAGCAATATCTTGTAATATCTCTTAGGGGTTAATGAGACGAAATAATGCAACAGGACAGCTATGGTTCTGAATTACATATAATGGACATTTTAAACCAATAAATTTCTGCTATTCTGAACTTGATGTTTTCTACTTATATATATATATATG